TTCCCTACAGCCCATGACTCTACCCAGAGGCTTCCAGGCTTGTAGTCTTTCTCTGACCAATGACAACTCTATCATCTTATACCACTGAGAGAGGGAAGTATTGAATTTGCTATCCAATACGCATCTACTAGCCACGTGTGGCTATTTAAATTAAAATAAAATTTAAAATTCAGTTCCTCAGTCTCTTGGCACATTAGAAGTGCGTGCATACGTAGATAGAGACTACCATATTGGACAGAGCAGATATAAACATATACATCATCACAGAATGTTCCACTGATCAGCACTGGATAGCAAGTCCAGAGAGTTTCAGGAGGTAGTGATTCCCAAAGAATTCTCCAAGATTTTTCTAAGGTTCCTGTGTTCCTTACAAATACAAAGAATGCAGTGAATGATCACCAAGAGTTTCTGGAAATAAGACACTAAGTCAGGTCATGCTGGCTAAGAGAGTACAATACTGCTTCCTTAGGTGACTGCGTCCCAAATGACAACAGTTTTAAAACACTAGATTAACAGAAAGAGATACGATAGTCTTCAAATTCTCTTCATTTAATCACTTACTCATTCAACAAATATTTGCTGAGCACTGACTTTCTGCCTAACACTTTGAAAACTTGAAAAATACAAATATCTAGCTATGACAGAAAAAAGCAAAACAAACAAACAATAGGGAAACAAATTTCAAACAGACGGAACAAGAGTACATAGGCCCACAGACACGAAAGAGCATAATGTACTGTGTACTCCAGAAACTGACAGGAGGCCAGTGTGACTGGAACGGAGTGAGTGAGGAGGAGGTAGTATGAGACAGGATGGAGGCTGACACATCATATGAACCCCATAATTATTATAGGAGTTCCTATTTCGGAGACAAAGCAGAATACGCTGTGGTTAAGTGAGGCAATGTATGCAGACACCACAATTGGTATTCTATAAGAGTAGGTAGATTGTGACAGTATTGTTTAATATTTGTATCATCAACTTGTTAAAAATGGAATGAAGAGAATATATTCTGTTTTGGTTTTTTTCTTTTTTTAGTTTTGCTTGTGTTGGGTCTTTGTTGCTGCGCACAGGCTTTGTCTAGTTGCAGCAAGCAGGGGCTACTCTTCGTTGTGGTGTGCGGGCTTCTCATTGCAGTGGCTTCTCTTGTTGCGGAGCATGGGCTCTAGGCGCGAGGGCTTCAGTAGTTGTGGCTCGTGGGCTCTAGAGCGCAGGCTCAGTAGTTGTGGTGCATGGGCTTAGTAGCTCCGCGACATGTGGGATCTTCCCAGACCAGGGCTCAAACCCGTGTCCCCTGCATTGGCAGGCAGATTCTTAACCACTGCGCCACCAGGGAAGTCCCAAGAATATATTTTTTAATTTGGAAAACAATGCTAAATTTAAGGTGTGTGATCACCAGTGACAATAAAAGCATAATTTAACATTTATGAAATGATTTACAGTTTATAAAACCTTTTCTAACATATCATCGATATATTTAATATTCATACAAACCTGGTGGCTCGGGTAGGTAGGGCATGTATTGCCATATCAGTTGAACAGAAAACATAAGCTGCATGACTTGTTCAAGGTCATGTAGCTAACAGACAACAGAGCCAGAATCAGAGCTCAGCTCTCTGAATCTGGTACTCTTTACTATATAAACTACACTTCTTTCTTTCTCACATTCTAACGTACTGGAGGAGGAAATTAGATTTCCAGTGACCTTGGAAAATGAGAAATATCTGGAAATTCAGAAGATGAAATTCACTATGGTAAAATACAAGCCAGAATAATTAATTAAAAATATCCAACAGTGAGAGGCCTGCATACCACACACACACACACACACACACACACAAAAATATATATATATACATATATATATATATATATATATATCATATTTAAATGCAGGATCAGCAATGACTTGTGAATGTGGCATAAAATGATTTAGGATAAACAGGCTCTAGTTTTTTGGTTACAACAACAGAAGACACATTGCCAGAATTCATAGAAGCAGTATAATCTGTGGATAACATGGAAGAGTATAATCCCTGGAGTTAGACTTTGTGGGTGCTAGTCCTGACTCCACCTCTTAGTATGCTTATGACTTTAGGAAGTTACTTAACCTCTCTGTGACTCAGTTTCCTCATCTATAAAATGGGGATATAGTAATAGTGCCTATTGCCTAGAGTGGTTAAGATGTAATGAGTTCTTTAGAGCTACATACATGGCTCTTGGTTTCTACATCTATGAAATAGGGATATAGTAATAATACCTACTGCCTAGAGTGGTTAAGGTTTAATGAGTACTTCAGAGTGCTCGTAGCTATTTATACATGGCTCATAGCTAAATTGTATGAGCTTTCTTCTACTTCTCCTTACTTTTTTTTTTCTCTTTGTCCTCCCTTATTAGATACCATAATTGAATTCTCGATACTCAAAACTCTTGAGGCCCTTTCTAGAGATTTTGAGGCAATTTAGGATTTGACAATTTTGGAAAGTATTAAAATGACAGTAAATAGAGGAAATAAATTAATATTAAGTACTTGGCATATGCTAAATATTGCATTAAGCTCTTTCACTTACCTTATCTTCTTTCATCCTCACAAAAAAAACATTTTTAACTTTTTATTTTGAAACAATTTTAGATTTAGAACGTTTGCAAAAATAGTACAGAGAATTTCCAGATACCTTCACTCAGCTTCCCCTAATGTTAACATCTTACATAACCAGGATGTAATAATCAAAGTCAGGAAATTAGCATTTGTACAGGCTCAGTAACTGAACTACAGAATTTATTCTGATTTTACCAGTTTTTCCTCTAATTTCCTTTTTCTGTTCCACAATCTAATCCAGGGTTACAGGTTGCATTTATTTGTCATATCGTCTTAGTCTCTTCCTATCGGACAGTTTGTCACTTGTTCCTTGTTCATGAATTTGATACTTTTGAAGAGTACCTGTCAGTCATTTTGTAGAATGTCCCTCAATTTAGGTTTGTCTGATGTTCTCTCATAATTAAATTGAGGTCATGCATTTTGGGCAGAAATACCACAGAGATCACCCTTCTCAGTGCATCACATCAGGGATGTAAATGATAGCCCAGTGTCTTACTGTTGGCCAAGTTAACTTTGATCACTGGGTTAAGGTGGTACTTATCCTCTGTGAAGTTACTGTTTTCCCACTGTAGTGAATAAATATCTTGGGGGCAATATTTTGAGACTGTGCAAATATCCTATTTTACCCACTAATTTTAGCATCACTAAATTTGATCACTGGGGTGAAGGGGTGTCTGTCAACTTTCTCCACTGTAACATTCTGTTTTCCCTTTTGTAATGAATAAGTATCTTAGGGGGAGATACTGTGAGCCTATGCAAATATCCTGATTCTCTTCAGACTTTTGCCCACTGATTTTATCATACTTCACTTCCAATATCGTTTAACACAAATATTATTGCCTTAGTTTTGTAGGGAGGTTTATTTACCTGCCTGAGAGGTTTATTTACCTCCTTGAGGTCACACAAATAGTAAATCCAGCTGTGTCATACTCCCTTGTAATTTCATCATTCTGTTAAGATATGTTAACCCAGGTATATGGGAGAAGAATCTACCAGGGGATAGGGAAGGAGAGGCTACAGAACTCGAAACGTATATATTGTTGGGAAGACAAAATTGAGATTTTAAGAAAAGTTTTTATACGAGATGGGAATCACCTGTTGAGGGCAAAGCAATGACTCCTCAAAGCATAGTGAGAAATTTAGATTTGGTGCACACTGACAGTGATCCAAGAGGGACAAAGGGGTTTTGTACGAACGGTGGATATCGATGCAAATATCAATAGAAAATATAGCTTAAACTTTCTGTAAAGATTTATCTTTTGTATTTGAAAAGTTTGTTTCCATCTTGAATTGCCATTTTTATAAGATTTAATCTGACATAAAAAAAATTTCTTTGATTAGGATACCAAAACTACCACAAAAAATATATCTTCTCACAGGGTTGGTATAAGACAACCGAATCTCACTCTTAATTTATTCCTTATACCACCTTAAATAAGGACCTCTACTTAAAAAATATCCAGTACATGTATGAGATTCCGCTCCCAAGATGGTAAAGTGAATCTTTCTGGAGTTTGCCTCTTACCTTTACTCAAGATGAACTGTATCCAATCATAAGCAAAAATCCTACAGCAGTAAAATATGTGTTTGATAAGGAGACTGAGAGAATATATGTAATTTTTTAGTGTATACATTTATTTGAGAGAGTGAAGACATTATTATTATAAGACATTGGCAATAACTAATAATAAGGACCCATTGTATAGCACAGGGAACTCTACTCAATACTCTGTAATGATCTATATGGGAAAAGAATTTTAAAAAGAAATATGTATGTATATATAACTGATTGACTTTGCTGTACACCTGAAACTAACACAACATTGTAAATCAACTATACTCCAGTAAAAATTTTAAAAACAAACAAACAGAAAAAAGACATGCATTTTGAGCGGTCCTTTCAACTGTTGCCAGTCATTTCTAATAGTCTTTCCCCTCAAACTGAGGGAATTTCTTCTCATGTTATCAGAGTTCAGGCTTAGTTCTCTTCTAAAATAAGCAACCAGAAGTGGAATAGTCAGCCTGTTTGAAAGGTCAGCAGCATTATCCAATCACAAGTGGCTATTCTTTTCAGAAACAACAGTCCTCTGGAATCATGATGTTAGGTATAGGAGAAGCTTAGGTTCATATATCATCCAGAATTCCTTAAGTATTTTGTGAATAAACAGCATACAAATATTTCACTGATGACCATCATACTTTTAAAAACATCATGGTTTCTGATGTTGTTTGTAACCAGTGTGACTTGTCTGCCTTACTTACCTAAATTCTTCTGTCCTGTATCCTAATTAAATTATTTTCTTAGATATATTTCCCCTCTGGTATGTGTTTCTCTCTCCATAACTGTTTGAAACTTTACACAGTGATAGAGTAAACTACCAACAAACCCCAAACCATGGGCAATTTTACAGGCCCACTGAATGGGTTTTTAAGTGATCTAAAATTGTTGAAAACATGATTCTGAATATCTAACCCATAGCTCAAGAGTTAGATTTCAAGACAGACATTTATGATGTAAAACTTCACAGCCTATGTGATATGCAAAATAGCATGAGGGTTTCTAGAATTAATTTGTAATTTTTAAAACTTTATCTTTAAAAAAAGTAGTTCTTGGGCTTCCCAGGTGGTGCAGTGGTTGAGAGTCCACCTGCCGATGCAGGGGACACAGATTCGTGACCCGGTCCGGGAAGATCCCACATGCCGTGGAGCGGCTAGGCCCGTGAGCCATGGCCACTGAGCCTGCGCGTCTGGAGCCTGTGCTCCGCAACGGGAGAGGCCACAACAGTGAGAGGCCCGTGTACCGAAAAAAATAAATAAATAAAGTAGTTCTTTCTCTTATTTTAGTTCTTTGAAAAATTTAGCATTATAGTAACCATTATTTCCAGAATCAGCATAATTATGCTCTGTAAACCTCTAAAATAATTTAATATTACTCTTTTTACAGTATCTCATTAATTGGAAATTTGAAAACTGTGTTTTTGTTGATATCAAAGAAATGTTAATTTTTAAAAATATGATAATAGTTATATGGTTATGTTTGAGTCATTACCTTTCAGAAATACATACTAAAGCATTTACATGTGACATTAGTATCTGAGATTTGCTTCAGATTAATATGAAAGGCAGGTGGATAAAGGTATATAGATGTAATAAGCATCATCATAAATTTAAAATTGTTGCATCTTGATGGTGGGTTCCTTGAAGATTGTTATTCTATTTACTTCTGTATGTGGTTAAAATTTTTAAATAATAACTCTTAATACATCTTCAGGTCTCTCTTACTTTGAACACGAGAAGATAAATCCTTAATCTACTAATAAAATTTTAGTTTATTGTATTGGTTATGAGAATTTTTTTCCTCCTTTCTATTAACAGACCGAAGACATTAAAGAAATAGCCAAAAAGACACAGGCTCTTCCAAAGGTGAACTCAGAGAGGCAGCGAATCGTGATTTTCACCCAAGGGAGAGATGACACCATACTGGCTACAGGTACATGTGGAAACTGTGGGAGAAACCAGTATTATGGAGATTAATCATTCTAGCAAAATTCTATATTTTTTCTATTTTAATTTATTCAAAGCAATGTACTTTTTCTTTTTTTTTTTTTTTTTTTACCACCTTCATGTCTTTTACCCCATCTCACCTCCACCCCCATTCCCACCTCTGGCATCCACCAGTCTGTTCTCTGTATCTATGACTTTGGGTTTTGTTGGGGTTTTTTTAATTCTTCATATAAGAGATATCATACAGCATTTGTCTTTCCATGTCTGACTTATTTTGCTTAGCATAGTGCCCTGAATGTTCATCCATATTGTTTCAAATGGCAGCATTTCCTTTTTTATGGCTGAATAACATTTCAGTGTGTGTGTGTGTGTGTACCACATTTTCTTTATCCATTCTGAAGTCTGTCCATCCTGAGTGTCTATCAGTGGACACTTAGTTTGTTTCCACGTATTGGCTATTGTAAATAATACTGCAACGAACATAGGGGTGCAGATATCTCTTTGGGTTAGTGTTTTTGTTTCCTTTGGCTAATTGCTCAGAAGTAGAATTGCTGTATCATATGGTAGTTCTACTTATAATATTTTGAGGAGCCTCCATACTGTTTTTCATAGCAGCTCCACCAATTTACATTCCCACCAACAGTGCACAAGGGTACCCTTTTCTCCATGTCCTTGCCAACATTTATTTCCTGTCTTTATGATGACAGCCATTCTAACAGGTATGAGGTGATACCTCAGTGTGGTTTTGATTGTATTTTCCTGATGATTAGTTATGGTCAGCATCTTTTCATGTACCTGTTGGCCATCTGTTGTCCTCTTTTGAAAAAATGTCTATTCAGATCCTCTACCCTTTTTTTTTTTTTTTTTTTTTTTTGCTGTATGCGGGCCTCTCACTGTTGTGGCCTCTCCCGTTGCGGAGCACAGGCTCCAGACGCACAGGCTCAGCGGCCATGGCTCACGGGCCCAGCCACTCCGTGGCATGTGGGATCTTCCCGGACCAGGGCACGAACCCGTGTCCCCTGCATTGGCAGGTGGACTCAACCACTGCGCCACCAGGGAAGCCCCTCTACCCATTTTTTAACTGGATTATTTGTTTTTTTGCTATTGAGCTGTATGAGTTCTTTATATATTTTGGATGTTTACCCCTTATCAGGTACATGACTTGGAAGTATTTTCTCCCATTCCATAGGTTGCCTTTTCATTTTATTGATGGTTTCCTTTGCTGTACAGAAGTCTTTTAGTTTGAATTCCCACTTGTTTATTATTGCTTTCTTGGCCTTTGCTTTTGGTGTGCAATCCAAAAAAATCATTATTGATCAATGTCAAGGACTTATCCCCTTTGTTTCCTTCTAAGAGTTTTTTGGTTTCAAGTCTTACCTTCAACTCTTTCATCCATTTTGAGGTGATGCTTATGTATGTTGTAAGATACTGGTTCAGTTTCATTCTTTTGCATATGGCTGTCTAGTTTTTCCAACGCCATCTATTGAAGAGACTGTTCTTTCCCCATTGTATACTCCTGGCTCTCCTGGCTCTTTTGTCATAAATTAATTGACCATACGTGTGTGGGTTTATTTCTGGACTCTCTGTTCTCTTCCACTGATGTATGTGTTTGTGTTTATGCTGCAGTACTATTCTGTTCTGACTACTCTATCTTTGTAATATCGTCTGAAATCAGGAAGTGTGATGCCTCCAGCCTTGTTCTGTTTCTCAAGATTGCTTTGGCTATTCGGGGTATTTTGTGGTTCCTTACAAATTTTAGGACTGTTTGTTATATTTCTGTGAAAATATACCTTTTATTTATTTATTTATTTAAGATGTTTGCAGGTAGGAGTTTATTAATTAATTTATTTAATTTTGCTGTGTTGGGTCTTCATTTCTGTGCGAGGGCTTTCTCTAGTTGCGGCAAGCGGGGGCCACTCTTCATCGCGGTGCGTGGGCCTCTCACTATCGCGGCCTCTCTTGTTGCGGAGCACAGGCTCCAGGTGCGCAGGCTCAGTAGTTGTGGCTCACGGGCCTAGTTGCTCCGCGGCATGTGGGACCCTCCCAGACCAGGGCTCGAACCCGTGTCCCCTGCATTAGCAGGCAAATTCTCAACCACTGCGCCACCAGGGAAGCCCTATTTATTTATTTTTAATAAATACACCTATCTTCTCTCAGTAGAAAAGATTTCATTTTCAAGAACTTAATTTATTAAAATTCAGTTGAGTAAATCCACATTGATTTAGTTTATTTACTTTGATATTTTGGAGATATTGTCAGTCTAGAAATGTCTTTCTTGAAAAAAAAAAGACATTTTACTTACCAAATACCTGTGCTTGAATAAAATTAATTTATCTGATTATGAGCAAATAGAATTCAGAAATAAGTTACTTCCTTAGGGCTTACCTGGTGGCTCAGTGATTGAGAGTCCGCCTGCCGATGCAGGGGACACGGGTTCGTGCTCCGGTCCGGGAAGATCCCACATGCTGCGGAGCGGCTGGGCCCGTGAGCCATGGCCGCTGAGCCTGTGTGTCCGGAGCCTGTGCTCCGCAACGGGAGAGGCCACAACTGTGAGAAGCCCACGTACCACAAAAAAAAAAAAGTTACTTACTTAGTTTTAAACTTCAAGAACAAAACCTCACTTTTGTTTTTACTCGGCCATCTATTTTATAGCTCTCACATAAATAGAATAGAGGGAACTTCCCTGGTGGTCCAGTGGGTAAGACTCTGTGTTCCCAATGCAGGGGGCCCAGGTTCGACCCCTGTTCGGGGAACTAGATCCTGCATGCATGCCGCAACTAAAAAAAAAAAAAGATCCTGCATGCTGCAGTGAAGATCCCATGTGCCTCAACTAAGACCCAGTGCAGCCAAAATAAATATATATATATATATATATATATATATATATATATATATAATTTTAATAATAAATAGAATAGGAATTTCATCTAGTAAACAAACATTTACGGATTAAAATGAGTAATATTGTCAATATGATGCTGCCTACTATTAAAGCCAAAGTACAAAACTTTAAATACTCTCTGAACCCTTAGGATTAAAACCAGTTAATTTATAATTATTATAAACAGTAGCAATTATTACCTTTATGTTTGTTCAGTACTCTGCTGAACACTGAAATTTAAGATAGACCTAAATGTCTAACTGGAACATAAAATTGGTATACCTCGAAGTATGAATACGACAAAGTATAATTATATTTCTTAATTATTGGTACAGAGTATATGGGTTGTATTGACTCAAAGAAGGAGATCAGTAAAGCTTGAAGAAAGAAGTTATAGTGAATATGGAGTAAATTTTTTATTGAATTAAATATATAAGCCTGAAATGGGTGAAAAAAGAAATTATTGTCAAATTGTGGGGAGAAGGAACCCTACAGTTAATTTATTTCAACTTTCTTATTTTAGAATTGTCAAAAGCAAGATTGAGAAATTTACTTAAAAAAATGTGTTTCAAAATAATTCAGTGAGTGTTAAGTAGTGAAGTGGGGTTATAGATGAAATGAGTTTTGTCATGAGTAAATAATTGTGGAAGCCATGTGATGGATATATGGGGGGATGGTCATTATGCTATTACTTCCACTTCTATATATGTTTAAAATTCTCCAAAATTAAAGGTATATAAAACAGAAATAAAAGTAAAAAGTAATTTTTCA